GGAAGACCATGGGCCATGTCATGGGACAATCTTCTGGGTACAGTTTACTGTGGCTGTTGCTGATTGCTGATCATGCTGGTATCAAATGTGGTTTCTTATCAAGAACTCAATCCTCCTTGATTCTCCTCCATAAGAGATGGGATGCAGGATGACACTTGTGACTTCACAGTCTTTCTCCTCACAGTGGTAATTTCTCCTGTTTGGCTGACCCTCCAGAGTCATTGTGAAAGCAGGGCAGTCATTGCACACTTTTCCTGTGTTCTTTCTCCAAGTATATTTTTACTCTACTTAGTAGTAGAAAGTGTTCAGGCAGAGGAGCGTGACCTAAAGTGTGGGGTTTGTTTATCTTTTCTTGTATTTCTGAACTGGATTGTGGGCAGATTGTCCAGTGAGGTGGCACAACCATACACTGGCCTGTTTTCATGTTATGTTAATATTTGCATCAGCAGCCACACCCTTAAAAAACATTTGGGAGTTCTCTTTTTAAAAAAAACAAACCACAAAATACAACCAAACCCAGAACCCCTCAAAAAACCCCACCCATACCCAACACCCCATTTTCCTGTGCAGTAGCTATCATTGTTGGCTCTGATGTGGTTTTCAACATTTGGGTTGATCTTTCACAGCATGCAATCAATGGCCATTGCCTTTAGAGTGGCCCTGACATCACCTCTATGAATAGTATTCTCCCAGGTGTGTAATATTTCCATCTGAGATTGGGGAAGCCAGGGGAGATTGTGAGCTGAAGGTGGCAGTGGCACTGAGTAGGCCCTGACCATGTCCTGGTATTATGAAGTGTGACCTTGGGCAGTGGGAAGACTTATCTGTGGGAACTGGAAATCTTTGGGAAGACCATGGGCCATGTCCTGAGACGACAAGAATGTGAGATGATGTTCTTGTCTTGAGAACAGCTGTGCCAGGGTGGGGAATGAGGGATACCTAGAGGAAAGCATGAGGCAGCATGGGCACCGGTGTCCACTGCTAGATCCTGAGGTTATGGAGTTGAAGGCCTTCTGGATATTGAGTAAATCCATGGAGATTTAATACCCATCATGTTCTTTGAGGGTATGAATATCTCCCAGCAGAGACAGTGCCTGCTGTCTGCCAGATACAGACAAGGGGTCAGTGCAGAGGGTGTTGCATGCAGACTGCTGACCATTTCCTGGTGAACTTTTGGATTCCTATTTTGGCAAAGGTTTTCTAGGAGGGTAGCACTTCAACCTACTGTCCTTGTATAGTGGTGGGCATCTACAGTAGCTTCCACAGCCATTGATGTTGCCATGGTGGTTCCTCGGTCCTCCTCAGGCACGATTTTTAAGGGCACGTTGTGAGGGGGGTGTGATCTTGGTTCACCCTTCTTGCCCTACTTGTGCATGTGAAAATTCAGCCTTGGTAGAAAATCCTGTTGTCATGGGTGGCTCATTGTGATGCCTGTGATGTCCATGTGAAACTCTGCACAGCAGCCCAGCTCTGGTTTCCGATGGTACAAATTCTCCCATCCTGTTCCTATTGTGCTTAGACCTTTGCTGTCATTCTCTGGAAGTGTAAAATCCATGTGGACTGGAGTCAGAACTGTCAACGGCCATATATATCACAAAATCCATAGGAACTCAGTTCTTATGGGCTGCTCTGTGGTGTTTCCATCTGAGATTGCTGAAAAGGCATAAACCACAAAGTTTATGCAGCCGAGGATCATCTGCCAGACAGGGAGGGGCTTTGCATCCCTCCATGTGTTCTTTGTGCCAATTGCAAGGGAAGGGGAGGCTGTGCAAAGACCTAGGACATGCTTAGAGCGGGGTTTGTGGTGGTGTGGAAGTGATCCTGTGAGTGGCAGCAGGTGGGGCCTGGGCATGTGTCATGATGAGGGTGACTCCTTTAGCGGGGAAGGGTCTTGCCTGAGGGACGTGGAGATGATGTGTAGAACAGAGCCTGTGTCTTTGGGGAAGGACTGGAGAATGTGTGCCTAGGTGGAGGTGCCGTTTCCCAGGGTGTGAGACCGAGGATTCCAGTCCAAAATGTCAAGAAGAGGCGCTGCAGACATTGCAAATGCCTGGGATTTCTCGGGACCTCCAACAGTTCTGCCTGTCCTTGTGCCCTGTTTGTTCTTTTCATGTGTTTCCACATGGTGGAATTGGTTTCTTTGGTTTTCTTCTCTCTTCTTACCAAAAACTCACAGTCATGTTTTTCTGTCTCTAATATTGGCAATGTGTTGGTAACACTGGCTAATATGGGATGCTGTGTTTTGGCAGCTGTGAGGTTGCAAACATTCGGGTACTTTTCCATCAGTGTGTGGGATGAGGATGACTTTTCCATTGTACTGAGCTGAGTTTGACATTGAGACAATGTCCTTCCTTAGCTTTCCAGTGTCCCTCCTGCTACCCCGGGATAGAAGTGCATAAGGGAGCACTGTGGTTTCTCCAGTGATTCCAAGACTTTTGTAGAATGTACATAATTGTTTTCTATTCATCTTTCCCAGTAGTCTCTGAGAGTGTTAGGGAAAAATGTCCCTTAAAACCAGTTCCCCTTCTCTGAAAATGTTTCTTTTCTGAAGAAGCAAACCGTGATGCTACAGGTAAGTCCCTTCTGGCTAAAGAAGAGGAGTCTGAGAGACAGCTGTACTTTTGTTCCCGTTTACTCGTGGTATCTTCATCTAGGGTGGAGCCAATGTGCCTGGATGGGCAGCTGGACTGGATGGGTCCCTTCCACCTTGAAATGTTTTAGAATTCCTAGGTTGGGCCAGCAAAGCACCACTGCCTGTTCTCATTTCTTTCTTGCTGCTTCCATCACAGTTTGAGAGATAGGCAGCAAGGATAGATGGAGGAGGGACTCTGTTTGAAGGTAGATGGGTTGGGAGTGGAGAGGATGTTCTCTGCTGTTGTTTTGCATTCAGGTGTTTTGCTGGATTGATCATAGTACTGAGTTCCTTGGGAACTAATGCCCCTGAGTGTGGAAGTTCTTGCTGTATTGTTCTGGCAGAGCTTGTCTGCCTGGAAGGAGAAGCAAGAGCTTGTCCTTCATGAAGCAGATGGAAAATGAGGCAGGAATTGTGGCTGTTCATCAGGGTATATGAAGAGTTCTCAGGAGGGATGTTTGTGCTGTGCTTCTTCAGCGTTCACGGCAGATTGTGGTGCTGGGCTGGGCTGGGTTTGAATTGCTGAGTGAGAGAATTCCATGGGGTTTTTTGGATCATTGGAGCCTTTTTGCACAGATGTTGAAGTACCTGAGGCCTGGTCTTCTGATTCCAAGGGTGGTGTATTCTTCACAGTGTAGTACAGCTGTTCTTGGCCATATTATTGCCTTGCTGTGTTATTTGCTGGGTCCGTGAGGGCACTGGAGGCTGAGGAGAGTGACCTTCTTCCCAAAGGGGAGGGAAGGGAAGAGGAGGTGTGCTGACAGTCTGTTTGCTTTGCATTTTCTGAAGGAAAGCAGGAATGTTGTTCCTCCTGAGGAGGCAGGTAAGGCCTCCATGAGAGCTCTTGTCAAGGGGCAGGTCTCTGCTGCATGAAGAGGATGATGTAGACACTTAGAAAACATTTTGTTTGGAAAACATTTTGGTAAAGGGGAAAAAAAGAAGTATGGGTGCAGAAGAGAGGGGAATCAAGGAGAGCAGTGTGAGGCATGAAAGTAAAAGGCATGGAAGGAAGAGAAGGAAAAGAAAGGAACAGAAAGGAGGAACGAAGAAAGAACCTCTGTAAGTGAGAAGCAAGCAAGGAAGAAAGAGATTTAAAAAAGAAAGGAAAGAAGGGATGATAGAGGAGATTGCCAGCATGCACTAACATTTCCTCTTCATGCTGTCTGGAGTCGAGGACCTCAGTATCCCCAGTAGTCAGGAACCCTGTGCAAGCCTTGATAAAAAGTGATGAGGGAGAGGAAGAAGAGTTTCTATGTAAGGGTGTGTCCACACCCCATGGCGAGAGTGATATAGTCATGTAGAAAATACTGTGTTAAAAGAGACAGAGAATAAGCAATGAGGGAAGAAGAGATGGTTAGGGAAGGACAGGGGAAAAACAAAGAGGAGAAGGAGTAAAAAGGGGAAAGAAAATAAAGCAGTGAAAGACTGAGTTGAGAGAAAAAGATGAAGGATGAAACATTGAAAGAGTTTACTAGCATACTACGATGTTATCTCTGTCCACAGAGAGGTGGGAGGAGAGCAGGGGGAAGAGAAAGACGGGGAAAAAAGGAATGAAAGCAAGCAATTAGGGAAGGAAGGTGACAAAGGGGAGAAAAGAAAAGGAGGAATATTTAGATTACCGGGGTGCACTGACATTCTCTTCTAACGCTGAGGGGATTTCGTTTCCCATGGTGTCCCCACTGGTTACTGTCCCCCGCACTGGGATGATGCTCTGTAATTAGAGGCGATGGCTCTGACAGTGATTGTCTCGACCACAGCGACAGAGATCACCGGTAACTTGGTAGCGAAGATAAAACAGGGAGAGGCATGGGAAGAGAACGGCAAGGGAAGAAAAGGATCGGACACGGCAAGGTAAGGAAGCAAGACAGAAGGTAGAGATGAAGGAAACGAAACAAAAGAAAGAAGAAAGAGACAGAGGAAAGAGAACAGAGTAAAAAGAGAAGGAAAGAGTAGAAAAGAGAAAAAAGGAAACATTAAAAATACAGACCGAAAAGACGAAAGAAAAAGACAGATGGAGAAAGAGTAATAAAAAAGGAGAGGAATATATGGAAGCACGTCGCATCAAGCGGGAAAAGGAAGGAGATAAAGAAGCTCGGTAGGAAGAGCCAGCAGAGGAAAGGCGTGTGTCGGTGCGGAAGCGCGGGCGCTGTGTGGGAGCGCCGCGGCGCCGGAGGCGACTGGGGAGCTACCAGGGGGAATAAAGAAGAGAGAAGGTTGGAAAGAGAAGGGGAAATGTCTCAAAGAACACGGCACGGCAGAGCAACAATGAAAAGGAGAAAGACCAGAAGGGCAACGAACAGAAAGGTGAAAACATAGTATAACGGGAAAGTAGGAAAGGAAGGGGGAAAAACCCTATTAAAACCGGAAGAGAAATGAAAGGAAGGAAGACAAATAAGAAAAAGAGAAGGTCGGTTAGAAGAGATGGCAGAGATGACGGCGCTGGCGCTGTGTGGGAGCGTGTGAGGCGGCGGAGCAGCGCACGGTGTCGCTGCAGGCTGAGGAAGGGCGTGTGGGCGGCTCCTTGGCGGTGCGGCGGAGAGCCCGGCTGTGAGCGCGGGGGGGCGGCTGGGGCCGGGCAGCGGAGCCGGTGCGTGCGGGCGGCGGCGGGAGCCGTGCGGGGCCCGTGCGGGGTCGGAAGGACTGGTCGTGTGCGGCGGCGATGGGCGAGTGTTTGTGGGGTGCGGTGTTGCGGGTGGTGGCGGTGCAGGCGGCGTGGGCGCTGTGCTGGGGGCAGGTGCGGTACTCGGTGCCGGAGGAAGCGAAGGCCGGGACGGTGGTGGGCCGTGTGGCGCAGGACCTGGGTCTGGAGGCGGGCGAGGCGGAGGCGCGGCGGCTGCGGCTGGTGCCTGGGGGCCGGCGGGCGAGCGTGGAGGTGAGCGGGGCGAGCGGGGCGCTGGTGGTGAGCTCGCGGCTGGACCGGGAGGAGCTGTGCGGCAAGAGCGCGCCGTGCGCGCTGCGGCTGGAGGTGCTGCTGGAGCGGCCGCTGCGCGTCTTCCACGTGGAGCTGGAGGTCACCGACATTAATGACAATGCCCCCACCTTCCCCGCCGCCCGAAAAAACATCAGTATTGCCGAATCGTCTCTGGTGGGTTCCCGTTTCCCACTGGAGGGCGCGTCAGATGCGGATATCGGAGCGAACGCGCAGCTCTCCTACACACTGAGTCCCAACGAACATTTCTCTTTGGATATACAAAAATCAAATGAGCGAAATATTGTTCCCGAACTTGTTTTAAGGAAACCGCTGGATCGCGAGACGATGGCCGTGCACCGGTTGTTGCTGACGGCGAGTGACGGGGGCCGGCCGTCTCTGACAGGGACGATGGAGCTGGTGATCTCGGTGCTGGATGCGAACGACAACGCGCCCCAGTTCCACCTGTCGTTGTATAAAGTGCAACTACCGGAGAGCGCTGCAGTGGGGACGCTGGTGGCACAGGTGAACGCCACAGATGCAGATGAAGGAATTAACAGTGAAGTGACCTACACTGCAACCAGCTTCATTCCGCCGAATGGAAGAGATGTGATTTCCCTCAATACCAAAACAGGGGAGATTCACCTGACGGGTGCTCTGGACTTTGAAGAAGTCAGTATGTTTGATTTCCGTATAGAAGCGAGAGACCAAGGTTGGCCCCCGCTGTCGAGTCACTGCAGCGTGGAGCTGGAGGTGCTGGACGTGAACGACAACGCGCCGGAGGTGCGGGTGACGTCGCTGTCGGTGCCGGTGTCGGAGGACGCGTCGCTGGGGACGGTGGTGGCCCTGCTGAGCGTGTGGGACCGGGACTCGGGGTCGAACGGTCGTGTGCGGTGCTGGGTGTGGCCGTCGGGTCCGTTCGTTCTGGAGGCGACGTTGTCGGGGTCGTACTCGCTGGTGCTGCGGGAGTTGCTGGACCGGGAGCGGGTGTCGGAGTACGAGGTGGAGGTGCGTGCGGAGGACGGCGGTTCTCCGTCGCTGGGCGGCCGCGTTGGGCTGCGTGTGCCGGTGTCGGACGTGAACGACAACGCGCCGTCGTTCGCGCAGGCGGTGTACACGGTGCTGGCGCGGGAGAACAACTTGGCGGGCGCGGAGCTGGCGCGGCTGTGGGCGCGGGACCCGGACGAGGCGGGCAACGGGCGCGTGAGCTACTCGTTGTGGGAGGGCGCGTTGGGCGGGGGGTCGGGGTCGTGGGGGTCGGGGGGGTCGGTCTCGGTGGGGGGTGTTGCGGCGTCGAGCTACGTGTCGGTGGAGGCGGAGAGCGGCGTGTTGCGGGCGCTGCAGCCGCTGGACTACGAGGAGGTGCAGGTGCTGCAGTTCGAGGTGCGTGCGGTGGACGCGGGGGAGCCGTCGCTGTGCGGCAACGCGACGGTGCAGCTGTTCGTGGTGGACGAGAACGACAACGCGCCGGCGCTGCTGCCGGCGGCGGGCGGCGGGGCGGAGGCCGGGGCGGTGTCGGGGGAGGCGGGGACGCTGTGGGCGTGGGCGTCGTGGGGTTCGCCGTCGGGTCAGGTGGTGGCGAAGATCCGGGCGGTGGACGCGGACTCGGGCTACAACGCGTGGCTGCGCTACGAGCTGTGGGAGCCGCGGGGCAAGAGCGCCTTGTTCCGCGTGGGGCTGTACAGCGGCGAGGTGAGCACGGCGCGGGCGCTGGAGGAGGCGGACGGGCCGCGGCAGAGGCTGGTGATCGTGGTGCGGGACCACGGCGAGCCGGCGCGCTCGGCCACGGCGACGCTGAGCGTGTCGCTGGTGGAGGGCGGCGAGGCGGCGCTGGCGGCGGCGGCGGGCTCGTCGTCGCTGCTGCCGCGCTCGTTGGCGGGCGGCGAGAGCGGCTCTGGGCCGGCAGCGGCGGCGGCGACGAACGTGTGGCTGGTGGTGGCGATCTGCGGCGTGTCGAGCCTGTTCCTGCTGGCCGTGGTGCTGTACGGGGCGTCGCGCTGGGCGCCGCGGGCGGCCGTGCTGTCGGGGCCCGGGCCCACGACGCTGGTGTGCGCCAGCGAAGTGGGCAGCTGGTCGTACTCGCAGCGCCACAGCCGGAGCCTGTGCGTGGCGGACGGCGCGGCCAAGAGCGACCTGATGGTTTTCAGCCCCAACTTCCCGCCGCCGCCCGGCGCCGCGCCCAAGGACACGCAGCCGGAGCCGCCCAATCTCCTTGATACGGTCAGTGGCCCTCCCCCTGTCTCCTTTCTTTCCCCGGAGAACTCTCCTCTCTTCCGTTCCCTCTGATCCGCCCCCTGCGCCCGTGCTGCTGCGAGTCTGTCCCCGCCTGCCCTGCCTAAAGGCCGTGGGTGCTTATGGATATTAACTTGTCTATGTGCCTCCTGGTCCTTTCTTGAGAACCCTGGCTCTTGGTGTGTGTGTCTGGTGAAATTACGGTACCCTGGAGCTGAGATTTCCTGCAGCTGGTCGGAGTTGTGTCCTAGAATGCACTGTCTATTTTGATGAGAGCTGCTCTGAGTTGTCAGCTTTGTAGGTAATGCTAGTTTGCTGTTGTGTAGGGTTTCGATGTGAGCTTGATGAGAAATGCAAGACAGGGAAGCTGTGGTGGTGACAGTCCCCGAGTCACTCTTTATTGTCCTATTGCCTTTGCTGACAGCGTTGGGATTAGGTCTGGATTATTATCAAAAACTATCCTCTTCCCTTCATTCCCCTTGCAAGAGATGTGATGCAAAGTTACCTTTGAGACTTCAAATTTTTGGCTCCCTGTGGAAAGAACAATTGTGCATTTAGTTTCTGTCATCAGACTCATTAAGAAAGTAGGAAAGGCAGTACAGACTTTTAGTATGATCTTTTTCTATATATCTTTTTGCTCTAGTTATTACCTGTTCAGGCAGAGGAGTGTGACCCCAGGTAAGTGTTAGAATTCACAGTTTTCTTGGTATTGTCCTGCACTGCCTCTCTGTTCCTGCCCTTCTCTGTCCCTTGTCTCCCACTCCCTGGGCAGACAGTGCTTGGAGCCGGGCTCAGCTCCTGCAGTTGCAGAGCAGTGGTTGCTGTGCAGGTGTTTTAGGATGTCAGTGGCACCGTTGCATCGGCCGTTGTGTCCTCCCCGAAGCCCCATCTCTCTTGCTGAGGTGGGCCCAAGAAAGAGCTTGCGGGACCCTGAAACAATTGCAGTTCACAGGTGAGATTTGCTGCTCACGGTGGGAGTTGTTCTGCCCTAGAATTAAATTGCCTGTGTTTTGCCCATTGCGTGAGAGTTGCCCCCAGCTGTCAGCTTTTCAGGCAACTCTCTTGCTTGCTGGTGTATAGTATTTCCACCCGAGCTTGGTGAAGGAGGGGAAGAACTACAGGTTGAGATGTTTGCAGTTCCCCAGGTATTTTGTGCTGCCTTATTGCTTTTGCTGAGTGCCAACTGTGTTGATATTAGTCTGGTGTCTTATGGAAACCTGCCTTCCTCCTCTTTGATTCTGCTCACAAATTGATGTGTAGCAAGGTGACCTTTAGGACTTCAGGGACAAAAGTTCTCCATTTTCGTTCTACCACCAGACTGCTTAGGAAAGAGGGGGAGGTGTGAGTAACTTTTTCCTGTTTGTATGATCTTTTTGCAAGTATAAAGCCTTAGTTCAGTATAAAGTATTCCGGCAGGTATGTTAGAAATGGAAATTTTGTTTTTCTTTTCTTCTTACCACTGTTCTGCTTGTTGTGGGCACGTGTTCCTTTTCTTCTTACCACTGTTCTGCTTGTTGTGGGCATATGTTCCTGGAAAGTAATGTCTTGTACACTCTCCTTTTTTTAACATTCTTTCAAATTTGTGTTAACAGCCACATCATTTAAAAGCCGTGGAAATTTTCTTTTGTGCAATGAACAAACTAACATATTCAAATTCCCTGAAATCAGAGTACAAGCACTCACTGCCAAATGTCAAATAACATGCTTTTACATGGTCATTGTTGTGTGTTATACTGATGCTCTCACCACCATTTCAGTTCCTTTCTCAGAGCATGACATCAAAGGCATTGCCATTTAGAGCTGTCATGACATCAGCTTTGGGAAGAGTATTGCTCCCAGGTCTGCCACCTTTCCACCTGAGAGAGCTGAAGGAATCCCAAACGTGACAGGTCAGCTGCAGAGGGTCTGCTGTGCCCTGTGCATGTGACAGCACCTGTGTGTTTTGAAGGTGCTGTTATTGGTGGGGAGGAGTGAGTTGGGTGGGTGTTGAGGTGGGTAAGAAAACTGTGGCCTGTAGTACTGAGCAGGGCCTGGCCATTTCCTGATGTGAAAGGTGATCTTGAGCAGTGGGAAGAGGAGTGATCTTGTGTGGGAGAACTGGAAATCCTTGGGAAGTGCATGGGCCATGTTGTAAGACAGAAATGAGAGATGACATGTTTGTCTTGAGAACACATCTTGGAGAGGGAGGGGAAGGATGCCTGCAGGAAAGCAAGATGAGCACAGAGTGTTTGTTCTTGCTAAAGATCCACTCCCAGGGTCTAGAGGTGTGGAGGTGACAGCCTTCCTGACCATGAGACAGTGTGTGTTCCTTTAATGCTGACAATGTCCTTTGAGGTTCTGAAGCTCTCCTATCAGAGACAGTCTCTTGTGCTGCTGCCTGCCTGATGTAGGCCTTGTGTTGGTCAGAGGGGGTGAGATGCAGAGTGCTGAATGTTGTCTGATGCAGCACTTGTTTTGGAAAAGGTATTGTGGGATGGGAATGGTTAAACTTGCTGTCCCTGTGTAGTGGTGGGTATCCATAGTGGCTTGCACAACTGCTGATGTTGTCATGATGGTTTCTTGCTCCTCCTCAGGTGGGATTTGTAAGTACCTGTGATGAGGTGGGTGTAATCTGTATGTGCTCAACTTGGCCTACTTGTGCACTGCAGAGGTGGTCTCAGTAGAGATGGTGTGTCCTGTTGTCACACAGGGCTCATTCTTGTATCTGCAGGCCAAGCCCTGCAGTGCAGCCCAGCTCTGGCTTCATGTGGTCCAAATTCTCCCCCTCAGATGACCTTTTGAGTGCTCTTGTGCTTTGGCATTTGCTGTGGTTCTCTTGGTGATCTAAATGTGTGTGGACTGGGGTCAGAGCTGTCACAGCTCTAATCCCAGAGTCTTTATGAACTCTAACACACAGCTCTGATGTGTTTCCATGTGAGATTGCTGAAAAGGAGCAATTTATGGTGAAGTCCACGCAGCTGGGAAGAGCTTGCCAAGTGCTGTGTGGCCTTGCAGAACTCCATGGGTTCTTTGTGTTGCTCTGGAGGGAAGGGGAGGATGTGAAAGGCCTGGATCACCTGCAGAGGGGGGGTTACAGATGAGACATGTTAAGCAGTGTTTGATTTTTTGGCAGTGATTTTGCATGTGGGACTAAGTAGAGCCTGGGCCTGTGTGATGGGGAGGGTGAGTTTGGGTGGGGAAGAGTGTTGCCTGAGGGAAATGGAGATGCTGTGTAGAACACAGTCTCTGTTATTGGGGAGGAAATGGCTAATGTCAGATTAGCTGTGGAGTTGCCATTTCCCATGGCACTGGATAGAGAATACCAGTGGAAAACCTTGAGTAAAGGCCAGTCACATCAGGCTTCTGTCCTGGCACCCTCTCAGGACCCTGAGTAGCTCTGCATACCTGGTGCTCTGTCCTCTGTGTTACTATTGCCTGTGAAGTTATTTATCCCTTTAATTGTTTGTCTTTGATATGGAATGTTTTTGGCCAAACTGCAGGTTTTTGAAATGTGTATCCTTCAGCCATTCTTCTCAGGCCATTGCCTCAGTCATCTCTGAGGTCTTGGTCTTGTTTGTAAGGGGACACAGCTGGTAGCATTAAAAGACAATGTCCCTGAAAATCAATACTCATTGTGCTGGAGTTTCTTTTTGTGAAGAAGCAACCAGTGATGCTGCAGGTAAGTCACTGATAACTGAAGAGGCTCTGTGTGAGAGATGGGTGTACCTTGGTTCCTGTTCAGCTTTGGTATCTTTGTGTTGGATGGCCTGCCTGTCACCTGGATTGAAATGCCTGTAGGTTTGGAGCAGCACTACCTGCTCTCATTCCTTTCCTGCTGTTGCCTGGCACAGGGTGAGCAGGTGGAAGCAAGGACAGTTCAAGAACTGACTGTAATGTGTTTCTTGGAGTAGCTGTGTTGGGCCTGCAGCAGATGTTCTCAGTGGCAATGCCCTGGTGTCACCTTGGTGGGTTTGTTTGGCTGTGCAGGTGGGACATGGGTCAGGAAAAATAGTTCAAGAGCTCTTCACAGAAGTGTATGAGAAGTGGTTGGGAGCTGTGGTTGGCCTGTGCTTTTTCAGTCTTCTTTTGAAGGGTCATTACGCTTGGCTGGGATGTGTTCTCATTTCCCAAAGGAGAGACTTTCCTGGGTTTTTAGTCCTTGGCACCTGTTTTTCTTAGATGTCTAAGTGGGTGGACTCTTTTCTGATGTGGCAGAGCTGTTCTTTGCCATCTGACTGCCTCGCTGTGTTATTGCTGAGTCCTTGAGCTGCCTGATGACTGAAGGCTCAATGTTTGGCTTTCATCCTGAAGGGAGGGACAGTTGTAGGTGCAGGGATGGGAGGTGAGCAGAAAGGTAATGCCCTGTCCAGATGGGTGGACTGAGGAAAGGGAGAGGAATGAGAGCTTTTGTGAAAGGGTCATGTCTGTGCTTTTTTGGGACAGTGGTGTAGTTTTTTTTAAAGAATTTTCTTAAAGGAGAAAAATGGTTGGAATATACAAAGATGGAATCAGAAGGGAAGGGGATGAAATGAAATGGCCCAGCGAGGCAAGAAAGAAACGAGGAAAGAGAGTAAGGGAGAAGAGAAAGAAAGAACAGAAAAAGAAGGAGAGAAAAAGAAACAAAAGAAGGAATCATTGCAAGGAATAGGAATGAGAGTTATTCAGGAAGGATATGTCCGTTGTGAGTATGGCATAGTTATTTGAAAGGAATTTTGGTAAGAAAAAAAGGATATAAGAGACAAAAAAAGAAATAGAAGAGGAGGTAAAAAAAATAGGACAGGTAAAAGCAGGTAGGAGGAAAGAAGATACAGGCAAAGTATCCACTGAAAGGTAAGCAAAGAAGAGAAAGAGAGACAACAGCAGAAAAAAGTGAAGAAATCAAGGATAGATAAAGGAAGGAGATGACATAAATAAAAAGCAATCCAGTATGCAATCAAGGAGGGAAGGAAGGAAGGAACGAAGTTAAAAAGAAGAGAATGGAAGAAAAGAAAACACAATAAAGTAGATGAGCATCTGATACCGACCTTATCTCTGAACGCTGAGCGAAGTTGGTCACCAGCAGCCTCTGCTTCGGTTACAGCACCGCACTCTGATGATGCTGCCCGGAATTAGCGCGGATGGCTCCGACTTGGATGGCCTCCGCCGCGGCGCCGGAGGCGACTGGGGAGCTGCCAGAGGGGATAGAGAAGAGAGAAGGTTGGAAAGAGAAGGGGAAAGGATTCAAAGAATACGGCACGGCAGAGCAACAATGAAAAACAGAAAGAACAAAAAACTGAGAACATAGTAAAAAGGGAACAGTAGGAAAGGAGGGGAAAAAACCTCTTAAAACCGGAAGAGAAATAAAAGGAAGGAAGACAAGTAAGAAAAAGAGAAGCTCGGTAGGAAGAGATGGCAGAGATGACGGCGCTGGCGCTGTTTGGGAGCGTGTGAGGCGGCGGAGCAGCGCACGGTGTCGCTGCAGGCTGAGGAAGGGCGTGTGGGCGGCTCCTTGGCGGTGCGGCGGAGAGCCCGGCTGTGAGCGCGGGGGGGCGGCTGGGGCCGGGCAGCGGAGCCGGTGCGTGCGGGCGGCGGCGGGAGCCGTGCGGGGCCCGTGCGGGGTCGGAAGGACTGGTCGTGTGCGGCGGCGATGGGCGAGTGTTTGTGGGGTGCGGTGTTGCGGGTGGTGGCGGTGCAGGCGGCGTGGGCGCTGTGCTGGGGGCAGGTGCGGTACTCGGTGCCGGAGGAAGCGAAGGCCGGGACGGTGGTGGGCCGTGTGGCGCAGGACCTGGGTCTGGAGGCGGGCGAGGCGGAGGCGCGGCGGCTGCGGCTGGTGCCTGGGGGCCGGCGGGCGAGCGTGGAGGTGAGCGGGGCGAGCGGGGCGCTGGTGGTGAGCTCGCGGCTGGACCGGGAGGAGCTGTGCGGCAAGAGCGCGCCGTGCGCGCTGCGGCTGGAGGTGCTGCTGGAGCGGCCGCTGCGCGTCTTCCACGTGGAGCTGGAGGTCACCGACATTAATGACAATGCCCCCATCTTCCCCGCCGCCCGAAAAAACATCAGTTTACCCGAGAATTCCCCTCCCGGTTCTCGTTTCCCGCTGGAGGACGCGTCAGATGCAGATATCGGAGCGAACGCTCAGCTCTCCTATACACTCAGCCCCAGCGAGCATTTTAGAATACAGGAAGAAAATAGTAACTCGCGCAGTAAGTCCCTGTTTCTGATAATCACGAAACCGCTGGACCGGGAGACGATTCCCGTTCACCGGTTGTTGCTGACTGCGAGTGACGGGGGCCGGCCGTCTCTGACGGGCACAGTGGAGCTGGTGATCTCAGTGCTTGACGTGAATGACAACGTGCCCCAGTTCAACCAGTCGGTGTATAACGTAGTTTTGCCCGAGGACGCTTTAGTCGGGCAAGTAGTGGCACGTGTCAACGCCACGGATCCGGACCTGGGAATTTATGGAGAAGTGATTTATGAAATTGATTCTATAATTCCACCGTTGGCCTCAGATATTTTCAGCATTGATGCAAATAGTGGAGAAATCAGACTAAGGGGA